TCTTGTGAATGGAACGGACACCTCCTTTGCCAGTTGCAACAAACTCTTTCACCGTGCAACAAAGCGGTATTAAGTTTTCCAACTTTTCGCAGGCAACAGAAACCTGTTCAACCAAATTTGCACAGTTTGGCATGCGTGTTGTCAGAATCATAATATTTCAATTGAAAACTTCAGCAAAGCAGTTGTTTGGATGATGAAGTCATCAGTTATAGTATCACTGTGCCACAAGCATGTTAATACAGGGGGAAGACGATCATATATTCAGAAGTCTACTGCCATAAGTTGCAGGTGGAGTTGTAATCTGGCTTAACATTTGAATCAGCCTCACCCTGGCAGCAGTGATGTCTCCTCATCAGTCTTATGAAAGTCACCCAGTCAATCTATGTTGAACCCCTGACTGAAACTGATATATACTTCAGGAGGCATAGAGGATCCCCCCCAACTGCTAGGGGCTATGATATGGGGAGAGGGAATAAATGATATTAAAGAGCAGGCAGCCTTCTGTGGAGCTCAGACTCCATGGTTCAGTCCCGCTGTGAATCTTTTTCCACTGACATGATGACAACAATGATGAGAAACGTTGATTTTATTCATGTAGGTTTGACATTTACCTGACAGAAAATCCTGTTGAAACTTTAAAAGCCTGAGAATCCATTTCCAGCCTTTTATCATTATTTAAATTTGAATGTAGACTGCTGAAGAGAAAAGATAAAATCTGAATGTGCTTGCCATTACTTGGAGATCAAATGAAACTTGTCAGTATGTAAATTACATACTGATAATATACATACACTTAATGTCCTCTATTTAACTCTCGTGGTTGTACAAATACTTGTTTCACAGAGTAGAGAGAGAAAGAGTAGAGTTGAGTAGAGTAGGTACTTTCTTGATCCCACAGTGGGGAAATTTCTGTGTTACAGCAGCAATAGAGAACAACCAACATAACACCATAAGAACAGAACTTCATAAAAACACGGAAAAAAACACAACGAGGACACAGCTGCTGTAACTTGCTGCCACTCCGCACGGCGCATGCGTACGTAAGTACGTAGTAACAAAGAACACTTAGTCTTAAAATAAAATTTACATAAAGGCAACAAAGCATTAGAACCAATACACCAAAACCACCTCATATCCCCATGGAAAATCCCCGGCAGCTCACCGCAAGGAACTTGGAAGGATTGCTGGCCTTGATGGCCGACTGTTGGCAAACAGAGTCCTCCCCAGGTAGACTCAAAACCTCGCAAAAAGTATTAAAAACATAATGCAAAAGCAATAAAACTTGTATTCCTAGTAGCCCAACTCACAAAAAAATTACAGGAAAGCACCATAGCACAAAAAGCAACACAGAAAACATAGAAAACTCGAAAAAAAACAAAACAGAGTGAGAACTGCGCAGGGCAGTTAACGTTCTGAGGCGGAAAAACAAATTTACTAGTAAACTAGTAAAATATGTTGTTTTTCATCATGTTCCAAATTGACACATGCAGTGTAAACTATGAATTGTACTGCATATAGATAGCTGCATATAGAAGAGCTGAAATAATCTCAGCCTCAACACAGACAAGACGAAGGAGATGATAGTGGACATGAGGAAGTAGAGGAGATTTCATCGGCCACTGTTCATCCAGGGCTCAAAGTGGAGAGGGTGAGCAGCTTCAAATAGCTGGGCGTCCACATCAGTGTGGACCTCACTTGGACACTTAATATCACACAGCTGGTCAAGAAGGCCCAATGGCAGCTGTACTTCCTGAGGAGGCTGAGGAGGTTTGGCATTTCGCCTAGGATCCTTTGCAACTACAGCTGCATCATTGAGAGCATCTTGACCAGCTGCATCACTGTCTGGTATGGCAGCACTACTGCTATGGACCGCAAGCACCTGCAGAGAGTGGTAAAGACTGCAGAGAAGATCACCAGGACTCCACTGCCCTCTCTACAGAGCATTTACCACCGCAGGGTGCGTAGGAAAGCTGCCTCCATCCTCAAAGATCCCCCCCACCCCCAGCATGGACTGTTCGCCTCCCTACCCTCTGGCTGGAGGTTCAGAAGTGTGAAGTGTAGGACCTCCAGACTGAAAAACTCTTTCTTTCCCTCTGCCATCAGACTCCTAAACAGCTGAGGAGTTTATTACCAGGAAATACATGACGTACTGTCGACCTGTACTGTTTACATTCTCAGTTTGCACATGCATAATTGGACATTGACTGTTGACTGTTGCACATGCTGCTCCCATGCAGCATACATTCTCTTATTATATTCTTATATATTTTTATTATACTGCTGCATTTGCTGCTTAAAGTGCCTTAGAATTTGTGTTACTTATTTATCTACTTTATATTTAATTTGTATTTTGTGGCATTCATATGGATGGCAAAGTAAGAATTTTATTGTACAGGGAAACACATTTCCTAACTGCGCATATGACAAATAAACACTTTGACTTTGACTTTGAAGTGAAACAGTTCTGGAAGAAAGAAAATGCCATTCAAAATTCCACTGAAATTTGTAATCAGGCTAATAACAAAAAATCCAGCCTTGGAGCGCAGCTGTTTTCAACACTATGTTGTGAATTTCACTACATTTACTTCTACTATAATGACATATTTCTTTAAAAAGACATATTATTGACACTAACATAATAGGTATGTTTTTACCAGATTTATTGAACATTAATTCCCAGAAGTTCGAGGGTGGTACAGCTGAAATGTCACTACCTGATGCCAGTCGACTGAGGGAAGAATTGAACTGAGGTCCTGAGTAATTCCTGGGAATTAACATGTAACATTTTAATTACATTCTGCTGAAGTCAACGAAATGACTCGAAATAATTCGAAAAAAGATTCGTTCATGTTGCTGAACGAGATTCAAAGAACCGAATTAGTAAAATGATCCAAACTTCCCATCACAACTTGTTCCATGTTCCATTGCCCATGCCGAGCTGCCACAACACAGGGCTTTTTAAGGGTGATGGAGAGAATGCGGCAATCCATTGGCTGCAGGCTTAGTAAATTCCAGTCGATGTAGTCCAATGGCAAGCTAGAGAGAGAGAGAGAGAGGGAGGGAGACTTGGTTTCTCTATCACTAATCTTGTGCTGGCAATACCCCCGCTCCATGAGAGCAATTAGATTCAGCGCTGTTTCCAGTGCCTCTGTAATGACTCATTGAAACATTTTCTGTGTCGATAAAGCCGCATATCTTGTCTCTCCCATCACACACACACACACACACACACACACTTCTAGTTAGGCTGCCTTCAGTACACCGGGACTGTGCTTGTTACTTTGGATTTGCAGAGCAGCAGGCTGGACGTGGACTTTAGTGTTTTCCATATGTGGTGTGCGTTTCGCCTGAAGTCGGGACTTACATGAAAGAGTCAGACAGTGGAAATTCAGGCTAAGGTAAGTTTGCTGCCGACCGTAATGTATACACAATGGGCTGAATTTCTGTGCGTTTTCAGGCGCCGACTCCCCTTCCTCTTCTCCCACCACATCTGACGGTTTGTCCGGACGCGCTTCATTTACACAGAAGAGCATAATCCACAAAGAATCCATTTACTGTTAACCATATGTGGATCCTAGCCATTATCACGATCGGAACGTAATAGAAAAAATATCAGAAAAGAGGAATAATGGAGGTTTTTGTCTTAAAACTCAACAGTGGAGCCTCATTTTGCGCATTTTCATTTGACTCCAGCTGAGGTTTCTTGTTTGTAAATGCTGATGAAGGAATGAATGATTAAAACGACTGCAGACACCACAGCAAGCACTGAAGATGCCAGCCCCAGGCGGCCTAATCGCATTACGCATTTTTTTTTTTTTTTTAGTGTTTTAGCGTTAATCCCACGCACTTGTGACGGTGCTTTAACCAAACTCGTCGTCAAAGCAACAGCTCAGTTAACTTGGACAACGAAATAAGCGGTTGTAGTCTTAGGGGAAAGGCGCCTTGTGTCTTTAAAGTGGCACAGCGTTTAAACCCATTTCACACCTACATCACCGTTTTGCGCAACTCTTTCTGTCCGACGTGCAGCAGCAGGTCTATGCGCGCATCTCTGCGCAACCACAAGATGGTGGTGTGGATAGGTGGTAGGATTTGTGCCTTACATGAATTTTGACCCCCACTTCATCGCTGCTAATGCTGTGATTGTCAACTTGTATTCATACTGGGTGGCATTCAGGCAGGTGCTGCAACATGGGGGATTGCTGGTTTAACATGGGATGACCTTGTGTGTGTTGTCATGCACATACCACTTCCATAGTGGCTTTTAAGGTTCTTCAACTTGGTTCAAAGAGGCCTATGAGGTCACAAAACATAAAAATCTTTTACTGGAAAATACAAAATCTGTTAATATTGTGGGAGGGTGTTTGTGTGCTTACAAAAAATGGTATAGTAGGCAGTGTTCCTCTTTTGCCTGTTAAGATCTTTGTTTGTGTTGTACAAGAGCTTATAACTGCTAAACAAATTAATCTCCAAGAAAATGGATTCCCAAAAAGCTTAATGTCTAGTGCAGCTAAGCTCAGAATCATTGTATACTCAGTGTAAAGTGAAAACTGCCTTCCTTTGTCATTAGTAGAGTGGCTGTATGACACAACATCTGAATAATTGGGTAATTCTGTTGTTTGACACTGATTGTGATGGTTGGATGTGCCCAGCTTCTACAAATGTCCATGGTATTGGTAAAAAAAAAAGGGTTCATGAGCTATGGGGGTATTCTTCATATACATCACTAAACAAATCCAGGATTAAATGAGTAATGCAAAGGTTATATATATGGTGAATATTTCAGTTCTTTAATAAGCTAGATTGAAATAAGTGTGAGCTTCAGTGGTTATAGACTAGACTATCAACAGTGGAAACCATGATCAGCTGGTTTCTCATTGGCTACACTGTCCCCACAGCAGAGTGAGAGCCCCTGCTGGCAGGCTACGAGGAGTTTAAAGATGCATTTTATACTGTACAGTAACACTGCAACAGTGGTAAAACTGCAGAGCGATAGATGGAAAAAAGTGGCTTACAAATAAATTGCACAAGTACCCTTGTCCATAATGTTGCCATGGCTGCATGTCTACTGCTTTGATATGATGCTATAATGTGTATAATTTCTGCATTATATTCAGAGTGAGTACCATCACAAGAACTGGTATAGGTACCAGACTGGCTCAGCCTGCCAGATTATCTTGGTGTCCTGTGCTTACAGCTGACATCACACATTATGATTGGCTGAACATTGGAAAGTATTATTTGTATTAAGGAAAATCTAATAATAAAGCTAATAAATCTCTAATAATACATTCATTAATTAGAATCACTGTACAAAAACTTTGCACTACTACTTAAGGAAGCACAGCTACTAATTTCTCACAATATTACAAACATTGAACATAACTGATGTGAGAAATTACTGTAGTAGCTATGCTTGCTTAGATGTTAGCAGACCAACAGCTAGCCAGCTAGTGTTCTGTTACGAATTATAATATTGATATGCAACATTAATCCAAAGTTTGCTGTGAATGTAGTCACATGGTGGGCAACCATGCACCAATCATCACACATTTTCCAATATTGTTCACCAATACACTTTCTGATGTTTAACCAATCATAATATGTGACATCACCTATAAGTGCAGGACCCTAAGCTGATCTGGCAGGCAAAGCCAGTCAAGTAATTACTCCAGAGAATATGTAAAAGTAAAATACACAAATATTCTGGTATTATAAACTGGTATTACTGTAATGTATTACTCTTAGCACTGCTGCTATTATAATTAGATTTTTCTCCCAAACTTGGCCTCACTACTCAAATTACAACATTTTCAAAACAAGTTTGACATTCTCCATAGCATTTAGTTTGTTCTGTGCACCATAACACATTTCTAAATCTTTTTTAAACAAATGGTAACTGTTTAATATGATTCAACAAATAATTCCATACAGAACAGTTGTCTACAGTTATCAACTGTAAATCGTAAATGGACTTGCACTACTTAAGTAAAAATAGTAATACAACAGTGTAAAATTAGTTTGTTACAATTAAAAGTCATGCATTCAAAATGTTACTTAAGTAAAGGTACAAAAGTATTAGCATAATATATTTAAAGTACTAAAAGTAAAAGTACTCATTATACAGAATGGCACATCACATTCCTCTATATCATATTACTGTATTATTGATGTATTATTGTGTACATCACATTTAATGTTCCAGCTGGTAAAGAGGGAGCTAGAGATCAATAAGGTCTTATAATTGTGATGCAATTTTTTGTATTAATCTGGTTCTGAAAAGTAACTAGTAACTAAAGTTATAAAATAAATGTAGTGGAGTAAAAAGTACATTATTTAGTGTAGTGAAGTCTAAATATGAAGCGACAGAAAATGAAAATACTCAAGTATAGATACCTCAAAATTTTTATTGAGTAAATGCACTTAGTTACTTTCCAACACTGTTAGAACAGATAAAATAAAGTAATTAATTAGTAATTAATTGCGAGTTGACAATCATGCAGTTAATCATGAATGGACATTTTAAACAATTTGACAGCACTAATTATAATGCTTCCGATGGCAATTCCTGATTCAAATCTGAGAGGTTATCTTGAATAAGTGTGAGAACAAACCTGCTCCTGTTGCCATAACAACAAGTCCTACAAGACTTTAAAAGACCCAAAAGTGAAATTATCAACAGAGTTATCCAGATACCCTGTTAATCCCTGGATGAAGAACACCCCCAAATTCTCTGTCCAGGCAAACAGTCACCCTGTCTCCATTACATTTCCCTCCTGGCTTATGATTGTCCTGCAAGATTTTTGCTCAGTTTTGACAAACTGCACAGTCCATCCAAGAAAAGTCATGTTGTTCAAAATTAAAGTCAGACATACAACATGCACAGAGCACTGCTCCATAATCCACTTCCCCTGCATATTCCAAATATTATATTCCTGAAAACAACATGTCAGGGGACCAATGCAGGAAATTGGTTTTATTGCTTTTGTCTGAGAATAATCTTTGGTGTGTATGGGTACTTTTCAAAAATATGCACTCACAGGCTTGAATCTTTTCATTTATGATTCCATGGATGTTAACATTGACCTTTTAAGAATGAAAAAGGAAGTTAGACAAACAGGAGCTTAATTTAACCAAAAGGTTGTCATTTTAATACATTACAAATATAATTATTTGTTCTTTTAATCACTGAAGCTTGTGTCTGTACTTGCATAATGTTTCAATTTTCACTGCAGACTTTCCATTTTACACCAACAATATTTGTACTAAATTAGCTGCACGTGGATGACATTGGTAGCATGAGCTTTTATTACTTTTTTATGCAGATGTTTTTCTTCTTTGTGTCTATAGCTCGGGATTGGCTCCAGCACCCCTCCAACCCTATTCAGGAATAAGCATCATAGAAAATGGATATAATATTTTTTTCTCTATTACAACATTAACCATACAAACAAACAGGACATTAGCAAGACAAGACATGAAAGACAAAACAATACTTAGATGGATGGAACATAGGAATGCAAGAGAGTAATAATAAGTGTACAGGTGGTGTGGCTGTGTTGTGTTGTGTTGTGTTGGTGGATTCAGTGTATAAATAATGTTGGGGGGGGAGAATTGCAGGCGGTGAACTATTATTAGGTTTAAGAGGTTGAAGGAGAAAAAGCGAGAACAAGACATGTCACCATCTGTTAGTCCTAGAGCAAGTCAACAGGGTAAGGTTGAGCAGGATAGCATTGTTCTTATTTTATAGTTGTTGTTTAAGTGGCGCCCGGCCACCCTGCGGAGGAAACTAATTTCGGCCGCCTGTATCCGGGATCTTGCCCTTTCACAGTCATGACCCAAAGCTCATGACCATAGGTGAGAGTCGAAACGTAGATCGACCAGTAAATCGAGAGCTTTGCCTTACAGCTCAGCTCCTTCTTCACCATGACGGACCGGTACACCAACTGCATTACTACAGAAGCTGCACCGATCCTCCTGTCAATCTCCGGGCCGGGTGCACCCTTAGAGATAGGGTGAGGAGCTCGGTCACCCAGGAGGAGCTCAGAGTAGTGTTAGGTTATTTCTTAGTTAGATAGATATTCAGAGATTTGTTGTCTAGAAATGTTTAGTGGAGACAGGATGTCTAGCTGAGGCTGTTAAATGCTCAGTTCATTCTCATGTGCTTGCAGACTGCATCTAGGCCAAGGCTAATTAAATCATACAAAGGCTGCAGGCAAGGAGAGTTGTTATTATTAACTGTAATGCTAATCTTAATATTTGTCTTAATGTGAAATGTCATGTCAAATTGTTCTTAGATACACACCACTAATCAACAGTCACACACCTTGACTTTTCCTCATGTTTTGACTATCGTTATGGTCAGCTGCAAGATGGCATATCAGGTGATGTCTCGGTTTGA